TGTGTGTGTGTTTTAAATGGAACAGATGATGAGGGCACAGAGGCTTCATAGGACACTTCCTGTCCTCTCCCTTTTGTGTTTTTATATAGTGTATGTTTTACCTAAACACTAAAACCATCTCTGTCTACTGGGAGTTCAGTGGTTGTATACAACCAATTTAAATGAGCAAATGTATTTTGTACACAATGCAAGTAATTATATAGTAATTATTCATATTTCTATCAATATATGGGAAAGATTAGGACAAACATAACATTGGATGTATCTAAAAGCTCTTAAATGACCTTGCGCTTTCTCATGGCAATATTTAAACTCGAGGATAGAGGTGAGCAACCTTAAGGAGGCCTCATAATGTTTCTGAGTCACTCTTTACATCAAAGTCTGGATCTGCACCTAACATCACTACCTTGTTCACTCGTTCAGTTCTCCCTGTATAAAGGACACTAAATAATTCTCTCTCCACTGAGCAGTAAATCCAGATTTCAGACACTTATGAGTCATCATCATATTGCATCATAGTCAACAGGTGCAGTCAGAGGAGGGTGGGGGGGAGAGTTTGAATGATCTTGAATTGACAACACATGTCTCTGGTGTAAATGTTTCTCGTAAAAAGAAATAATCCTGCAGGTAAATATTATTCAGGCATAAATTATGTTCACTTGAGAATGTCTCATGTCTGAGCCCAGTTTTATCCCTCGAAACACTAACCCACCATGTTGAGCAAAGGGTTAAACACTTATAGTACACTCACAGACACTCACAGACACACACACACACACACACACACACACACACAGTAACACAGATTTTCCAAGCACCAAAAACAGTGAAAACATAATTTTCATAATAGCAGGTTAAGCAAGTGTTCATTTATAGCACCACTGTCGCAAAAAAAAAAGAAGAAACTTGGTCCGATTTGCACATACCTTCTGACCTCAATATAAAACTTAACAAGATTCCACTTCAGACGTTCTCAAGGGTTTCTTGTTGTGTTTTCTAAAAATACAAATACTCCGTAGGGGAGAGGGGGTGTAGAAGTTGAAATAGGATTTAATATTGACCAAGCCGCCTTAAATAATATTGGCTTAGCCTCCCTCCGTGGTTGTCATTTCATTCTGAATGACTTCCATACGTCTCAAAAATCTGCTCATAGATTTGTGGCTGCAACAGAACCCACTTGGCGATTTTCCTCTTCATTGTCATTCAGTAATTTCCTGTTGATTTTTAACGGTTTTGTTTCTTATTTCACTGAAGTATTATTTTTAACAGATCCTCTCTTAAACATAATGATCTAAAGAGCTGAAGCACATGCACTTACACACATATACTGTACATATAATCCATAGGAACACATATAAATGCTAATACACAAACGCAAACACACACACACACACACACACACACACACACACACACACACACACACACAAGGCCACTTGTCTGCGACAGCTGAGCAGAGTGCAGTTGTATTTTTACCTCGGCCCACACGGTGAGCAAAATGCCAACTCTTGGCCTTGAGAAACTCTCTCTCTCTCTCTTTCTCTCTCTCTCACACACACACACACACACACACACACACACTCTCTTGGAGAAACACTTACGCACATGCAGACGCACACCCTCAGACACGACAGGTCAAGCCCAGCCAACCGCCGTAGCAGCCGCAGAACATAAACAACTTTCACACACTCTGTGAATCATCTGAGCATTTCAATATTGTCTTAGATAAATATATTCAGCCACACGTATAAATATATGGAACCATAATTATTCCCCGAGACCACAAATGACCATGACGGGAAGTTAGTTCCCACAGTTTCAGCAGCGTCGCAGCCCAGCCCTGCAGTGCTGGAAATCCACAGCTCGGTTTACAGCAGACCATGCAGACGACAGGGTGGAAGGTGCTTGACAACAATAAACAGCTGCTCATAGGTTTGAATGAGAACTGGGACATTTAGGTTCAGTCACAAAAAGAATGTTCTGCATGTGAAAGAACCAGAATGTAAATTCAGGGGAGGAAACCTGTTTCTATACGTTTCATTGCTTGGTCTGTTGTGTTCATGGCTTTCTCCTCTCCATCCTCTCAGACTCTCACATAAACACACACTCACACACACATGCGGACACACTCCCAGTGGGCAGCAGCTGTTCGAGTGCTAATCTCCATTAGCTACTGAACTGGCTTCCACTGAGAGGGCCATGTAAAATCTGTTCTCTCACTCCTTCACCTGAGTGAAGCACCACGGCTGCATCACTGACACAAACATACATGTGTAACATATTTCAGCTTGTAGTTTAAATCATAGTCAAAATGCTTTGCACAAAAACTGTGCATATACCAACAATTCATCTGAGCGGCTTCAAGCCTTCAGCGCAGTGCGTTTGTTAAGCCGATCACATCAGAAATATGTGTATACATATGTGTGTAATCACAGAAAAGGGAAAAGAGGACTTACAGTCTGTAGAGCTTCGTCGTTCCCAGGAAAAGCAGCTCGGGAAAGATGGCCAGATTATTCCGATTCAGGCGCCTGAAAAAACACGGCATAAATTAGAGAACAAACTCTACCTAGCTTCTTCCAGAGAGTATGGGTAGAGCGGTTAGATGTATGTGTAATTATCTTTTTAAAGTCAGATTTGTATTTCCTGATATGGATATCAAATTATATTATGTTGTTTTCATTGTAATGCAACTCGGTTTATTTTGAGGAACCTTGAAAACAAGGAGATTGATGGAGAAACTTTTCAGACAACACACACACATGTTCATGGAAAGATTCTCAAAAACAGACTCCGGGTCACTCCTGATTTAAGGGGTACAACACGGCTGCCAGACAAACAGTGAGTTAGAGAAGGACGGAGGGAAGGCGGGGAGAAAGGAGAGAAGAGAAGGGGTCGGATGAAGGGTGGGGGGGACCTTTTTTTTTTACCACAAAGGCGGAGGAGAGGAGACGATGTGGGAAAAACAAACAGGCAGTCTGGCCGGGCTACCGAATGTGTGAAAAGGACCCCACTGAGTAAACAAGGCCCTCACAGCAGAAGAACTCACAACAACCCGTCATCTCACACGCACACGCACACACACACACCCATACACACACACACAGACAAACACACACAGACAAACACAGGAGTTGAGAGAACTCGGGTGAGTTTAATAATCTGGGTGCGATCATTTAACCCTGGTTGAGTGGAGTGAAGAGGTTTGTGTGTCGTGTGTGTTGGTGTGTTTGTGGTGGTGCCTTGATGTGAGTCGGAGGAGAGAGTGACACAATGAGGGACGGGCTGCTGAAACAGTTAAACCCTGACACACACACACACACACACAGTCATGTCAGCATGAGGGCATTACATTGACTTACATTGATTATCTGGGGACTTATTCAGACCTTAACCTACTTGCTTAACCCTAACCTAAATCTAATCTAAAGTTAACCTAACCTTAAAACATGTCTTCATGTTAAAATCAAATGAAATGTCATCGGACCTGCATTTGTTCCTTCTAAGGAAGAAATGTCTCCATAACCTGTCGTGTAAACAGATTTAGGTCTCCACAAGTATATGGACCACACATACACTCACACACAGTCTTGACTTTGGAGGACATTATATTTACATTTATTCCCTGGAGACTTAGTCTAGTGTAACTACCCTGAGTTGTAGGTATTTAAAAAAATGTCTCACACTTTAACATCCCACAATTTTTAATCTCTCAATTGACAATATCTGGCTTTATAAAGAATCATTTAAAGTATTTTAAAACGCATTTTGTTGAGTGGCCTGTGCCCGTGACCCTGTAGCACTCATCCAGAGTGCTGCATTTTTAACCTGATCTGAACTAAACAAAATTTTACCCTAACTCTACCCTACCCTCAAAATATGTCCTCACATTAAACTTTAATTCTGTATATTATGAGGACAATTTGCATAATGTGACCGTGTAAACACATTCAGGTCCCCACAAGATGAGTAATACTTGAACCCTATACACACACGCACCCACATACACACACACATTGACAGTCACAACAGAATTGCTGTGTTGGCTGCGACAGGAGATGAATGACGATAGGGAGAACGAAGGGAAACCGTTGGAGGAGTGACTTTAAAGTGATAAAACAACTGCCCTGATACTTTCTGAATGATTTACACATAAATCCCAGCAAAACAACACATTCTGCTCAAACAACATAACTCCGAAATCCTCTCTTTAAATATCTCAATGACTTTCCCCTCTTCACCCTCATCTTCCGTCTCTTTTTGCATCACTGAAGCCACAGTGGACTCTCCTTAAATAACGTCAAACCCTCTTTGTCCATCTCCCACCCACAAGTGCACAACTATATGAATGTGCTCGAGCCCCAGCACACACATTTACACTCCACAGTTACATCAGAGACCACTTAAATATTTAACGTCCCGCAGAACTGAAGTTTCTGAATTATTCACCGCTCTTCCGTTAGCGCCAGCTCAGGCGGCTAAGAGCCCCACGTGGTCCCGCAGAGAGAGGCCCACTCCCACTGCAGGTCCTGCCCAGCCATGAGTACCCGTTAGTGGGCTAGACCTCTGCTGGGAGGGTGCATGGACTGGTGCTAGAGGTGGGGAGGAGGAAAGGAGGACAGAGGGGGGGTATGATCTCATCCTCTTAAAATAGATGCGATGCTGTCAGACTAGGAGACTGAGATAATGAAGTAAATATCCAAACCAGTCCACTTCCTCTGCTTTTAAAAGCAATTTATGAATTTGATAAGTTGAGCAGCAGTGTGATTATCACATTAACCATCACATCGTGCTGCTTTTAGGTCTCTAATCATACTTAACACAGGAGAGACGGTTTATCAGGCATAGGAATTACAATCAAATTAGGCTCCTGCACATTGCTTTCATTTGACTATGTTCATTATCACAAAGTTCATTAAGCATTGTTATTTTGATTCATTCTTCATGTGCAAATATCATCAATATTAACTAACTGCAAATAATACAGTTCATAACAAGTCCCTGACTCAACCTGTTGGCCACAACGAGAGCTTTAGGAATTCATTTTATCTATTAATCTATTATCTATTACTCAAGCAATTTATAGTCTAATTCTGGTGTTTTATATTTATGTTAGATTATTTTACTATTCTTATTCTATTTCTTATTAAAATATATTTCCCCTTTCACTCTTCATACTCTTTTGTGCTGCTGTGAGTAATTTGAATTTCTCTAAAGAGGATCAATAAAGGTAAATCTTATCTTATCTTGCTGTGATGCATTGCATCGGATTATTGATATGAAACTCTAAAAAAAAAAAATTAAAAATAAAATAAATCCCCAAAGGTGACTTCCCAAGTGTTTTTTTGTCCGATAGTCCCAAATTGTATGATATGGAATTTACAGAAATTTGACCATTTTTGGTTTTTTGTGTGCATTCTCATTTAGTTTGATGCAATACACAATCCAGTCAAAGGTTTCACACCGCTCCAGTTATGAAAAGGTGTTGTTGGTAATGCACCAAGAGATGCAGCAGTTTGCATGAATTGGATCTCAAGGACACATCATTTTGCTTTTTTTTTTTTTACAGGAAATTATCTTCAACACATCAACATCCATAAGGCAACAAAGTGTAAAACACAGCTGAGATGACTGTTGGAGGGAAACTCTGATTCTGATTTGAGTAGTGGCAGTGATCTGGAGTTCAGTATTCAAGATTTCTTTGTAGATTTACTGAGGACAACTATAATATATATCAAAGTACATATAAAAGTCATTGGCTGCTTCTCACTCAAATAATCTGCAGTCGTCTGTTGTGGTTTGTCTCTGAACTTGATGGAATGCATCTTTTAAAACCTTGTTAATGTGTGTATTTGTAAGTATGTGTGCATATGCAGATACTGTAAACAGCACTGGAGTACTCCCACAGTCTCATTAGTCAGAGTCTCATGGCTGAAAGCAAAGGAAAACTGAAGAGCCAGTGGTCTGAGGTGTGAGTGTCAGTCCAACAAGCGAATGTCACACTGCAGCGTGGTGATAATCCCTGCAGTCATAAACAGATGCTACAGGGCAGCAAACCACACAGTACACACACAGTACACACACAAACACATTCTAACAAACACCTACAGTGTGCCAAATCTTCGTACACACACACACACACACACACACACGTGCATAACCGCACAAATATAAAATATACACACACACACACGTGCATAACCGCACAAATATAAAATACACACACATGCAACCCTCACAGCCAGGAGCCTCATAGATGTGTGGAGGCTCTGGCTGGAAAGGAAACAACAAACCACCTCAAAAACCAATTACTCCACAGATGACACTGCTGCCATAATACACATTTTTGCACTAACAATCTGTCACACACACACACACAGACAGACACACAATAGTAACATTGTTACCATAGTTATGAATCAAACCATGTGGAAGCTTTCATGACCCAGGGTTTTCCCATTGACCAAGAAAACCACTTCGCACTGACCAGTGTGTGTGTGTGTGTGTGTGTGTGTGTGTGTGTGTGTGTACCTCATCCTGTTTACACACTCTAATCTGATCTGTTATTCAAACACTAATGACAGATACAATCTCTGCCCCAAAACAATGCAGAAATCCAGTTTTCTCGTCCCAACCTGTGCAAATTCCTCTGCTATGATCTAAACTTCAGGAGCTACTGGAAAACTTTTCCTCCAAACTTTGAGCTGACTGTTGTGTAGCACCTAGACAACTAATGTTGGCTGCTGCAGAGCGCAGCACTGACAGGGGCAAGGACCTGGGAAAATCTATCACAAATTACTTCTGTAGACAGAACCACTGCAGTGAAAATGGCTTTTTGTGTGTCTTCGCAGATAATTTCAAGCTCGGCTGCTCAATAAAAATAACATTAAAAAAGAAAGAAAATTATCAAAACTTTGCCCTGAAATGATCAGAGAGGACAATGTTATCACTCAACAGGCTTTAGAGCTAATCATCAAGTACTAATCCAGGGCTTTCTTTTGTAATCCATATCCTGCTATCTGGGATCTCTGTTACAATTATCTTTTGCTATTCATATTGTCCATGGATTATAACATGATCACTTGGTTTGAGACTTAATTATCTACTTTGTTATCACTGCTGATAGACGCATCTTTCTACCTGTAAGCAGTTTTACAACTATTCATCGCTATTAAAATGATCTTTGACATAGTGAACACTCAATTACAGGCTAATTATCTGAGGCTTTATCTCGCCGCTTAAATTATCGTCTCAATGCCTGTAATTACTGTTTTGTTTCTCTTGGCATCTCTGCAGCTCTTATCTCCTTCAATCTCACAGACTTTGAATTGGATGGAGGCTATAAACCAGTCAAATGTGAGGCAAGGATAAGGGGATCAGGAGCTCCTCTCTTTCCTGTTCTGCTGCCACAGGGAGAAGGGTGAAGAATGTATGACATTCCTGTAAGAACGGGACATGGAGAGAGAGAACGAGATGGGTGGGTATGGAAGAAAAACATGAGGAGAGGCTGGAGGTATGAATGAAAGAAAGGCAGAAGGCGTGAGTGGGTGTGAGGGGGGCAAAATCCAGATAAAACCAGTCCTGGCAGAGCAGCCATGCGTAAGTGAATGCGCATGCATGACTTTATCCATACCCATGCATGTGTTTATGCATGTGCACGTGTGTGTTGTGACGTGCCTATCTCCTCCACACCTCCTTCGACCATCTACCCCCTCCTCCATACCCCCCAGCTACTGCCCCACACCTGACCCTGCCCTGCCCATCGCTGCAGGGCCTGTCGCAAAAAAAAAGGGGGGATAAGAAGGGAAACCGTTTTCCACCCCTGCGGGGGGCAGTCACTGCGGATCCGTCAGCCCTGCTTAGGGTCCTCTCCTCTGGGCAGCAGTGCCCAGCAGGACCCTTCCAGCCCCCTAGAGGATGGAGGCCTTTGAAATGAGCCCCCAGACTCCAGACTCCGGAGATGTGCCTTTGTTCGGCGGCTGCAGGGGGGCATTGATGACTGACTTCATCTTTGTGTTTGTGAACATGCCACGCCACAGACACTGAATTATCGTTGGAATAGCCTTGCAAGGACAACAGAAAACAGCCATGTTGTGTCAGAAAGTTAGCCGCCATCAAAGGTGTTTGTCGCCATCAGAGACAAGAAGGAGCAAAAGAGACGACCAAACAAGCTAGTGTCTAAGACTACTTTTCAATACAAGTGCAAGTATGAGAAGCCTGTTTTACATGGGAGAGGTTTTTACTGCCATCTCTTTGTTCAGAGGGTCATCAGTACCAAAGTACTGTTGAAGCCATAAGCAGTGAAATATTGCCCTCTTTGTCCACAGCTCTGGGTAGGAATTCCCAGAACTGCTTGGCTGGACAAAACTCAGTGTTGGTTTCATGAGAAACACCAGCAGATTCCCTGTAGAGGTCCACAGTGCGTCCCTCTCCGTCAACAAAGAGCAGTTATAGTGCAGCAGACAGCAGCAGCAGGCACAACACCACCAAGACAAGAGCATCAGGGGAATAATGATATTTCATTCTTTTTTACCCCAAGACTGAGGATTTTCCCAAAACAACTATTAAAAAGATTATCCACCTTTATTTGATTTACTGATGTATGTACATGTGTGTATGCTGTGTAGATGGATTGTTTGTGTCGATGTATGTGTGTAAGCAGTGAGGATTTGAATGTGTCTTTAATTAAAAGCTTGTCTGTAAACCTCAGCAGACTCAGTCCCAGTCTGCTGCATACTAGTGTGTCATTGGCCGACAGTTAGGCCACATACACACATGCATATATGGACTGCTTACGCATCAAGCAAAGTTGACAGTTGACACAAAGGACATACGAGCAGTCAGGGGTCCACATCCCCCTTCTGTCTCGCAACGACCCTCTCAGACGACCAAGACTTAATTATGCCATAACTGCCTCAGGGTTGGATGCTGAATACCAGTGATTCCAGGCCAGCGCCGTAACAACCTCTGGCCACTCCTCAGAGCCTTGTAGCTTTATGACTCAGTCACTCAGTTTCTCTTGGACCGAAACGTCGACAGCCTCACATCCTGACAGTCATTTTTTAAACGATGGTGACAAACTAAAAGGGAAAGTCTGAACATACGAGTGTAGAAACACATTAAATCCTTCCATAGAAGGCCTGGTGGGTGAAAATGATTTAGTACCTGTAGGAAAAGTGTTTCGGATCAGTTTTTTGTGTGATGTCGGGAGGTTGTTAAAGCAATAATTTCCTCAGTTCAATATAATGAATCCTAAACGATACTTTAGTCAAGTCCACTGATGAATGATTCAAAGATTCAGCCAATAAGGACAGCTTGCATCACAATTTGTCCTGAATGATCTAAACTGCTTTAGCTCCAGGACTAAATACGTCCTGAATGCGTCGTGTAGTCAGATCGCTCAAACCACAGATGGAGGTGGTCTGGCACACATGTGGCCACATTGTCTTTCGTACACGAAATACCGACAACTCAGCTGATGTCCTCTGACCTTTGCAGTATGACCGTGTTTTTACACTTCTCAGTGTCCATACATTGATTTGTTCCGCCACTGGGTTAAAAAAACAGAAATCTGATCTCTCAGGGAGGACATAACACCAGGTCTGAACGAGGCCATATCTACACTTGCCAATACAACATCAAAAGCTTCCACACTAGGTGGGTGACCTTGTTGAATCTTGTTGTAGTTTTGCTGCATTTCAAAACACGAGAGCAGAAATTGAAGACAAGTTTCTGCCAGCACCTTTCACCACATATGATATAACGATTAACCTGATCCTCAAAGAACAATGTGATACATTCAAAACTGATATTGTGATGTCTGGCATAGATTTCAACCAAGATTTCATAAACCTGGATTGTGTGACATGCATTGACAAACAATCCGTGATTGCTGTTATTGCAGTGTGTCAGGGCCTTTGAGCAGTGCTGTGCACCATCATCAAAACGGCAAATGAGGGAATATCGCTGAGAAGAGCTGTGTTTATCCCTCCTGCAAAGCTACCAACACCTTATTATGACACTTTTTGTTAGTTCTTGTCTTTCATGTGTTACCCCTCTGTGTATTTTTAAGTGTTTGTGTTTGCATGAAGCACCTCAGTAAATGGAAACTTTCATTTTTTTCAAGGATAAAAGGATCTTGCCTGAAGGGATGAAATGGCAACTGCTACAACAGGTCATTTTTACTCACAGTCTCTCCAGCTCCTTCAGGTCCTGAAAGGCTCCTCTCTCGATGGTGGAGATTTTGTTCTCCATTAGCTGCCTGAAAGAGAAACACCAGGAGAGAGTGAGAGGATGAGCATTGGACAGGGAAAAAAGAGTGATAGAGAGAGACATGCAGAGCATGAAAACCTGACAGAGTGATTTGTGCATGGAGACCGTGAGAGGCCAAAGAAAGGGGGAGAAGGACGGATGGATGTGGCTGCAGATAAGAGAGAAAAGAGGAAGAGCAGGTGAAGAAAAGTGAGATAGGACACATGAGAGAGATTGACATGGGAGGGGAGAGGGAGGGGGAGAGATTGAGAAGATAGGTGAAGGAGGGCGTGAAAGAAAAAAGAAGAAAAACAGATTGGTGGAGATAGAAAGTGAAAGAATGTTGAAACAGCAAGAGAGAGGGAGAGCTTGAGAATGAGAAGCAGGTCGATAGAGCAGCAGAATTGACTTTAAAGCCGGCCCATCAGTTGGACAGCGACTCATCTATCATCCAATTTACTCTTTCTAACCACATAGCTGTGACTACTCATTCACTTACACCAGCACAACTCCACCAGGAGCAGGCTGCTGACCAAGCCAAGTAGACACACACACACACCCACGTATGTACAGTTATCTTAGTCTTACTCGTTGGCATAATGCATTCCCCAGCCCCTTACCCTAACCCTAACCATCCAAACTAAATGCCTAACCCTAACCCTTATCCTTAACCTAACCTAATTCTAACCCTAACTCTAAAACCAAGTCTTGACCCCCAAACAGTCCATTAAAGGGGGGTCACAAAGTGAAGACCAGCCAAAATGTCCTCACTTTGACAAAAATGTCCTCACTCCGTTGGTTAAAGGCTAAAACTGGTCCTCACAAAGATAGCTGTACAAACACACATGATAAACAGGAGGGTGTATGCATACAAACAGATCTATTGAGACCAGGGCTGCAGATTACAGTTACACTTCCAATCTGCTGACTTTTCTTCTTGATCGATCATTTTTAGTCAATAAAATATCAATAAGGGCCTAATGACCAATAGTTGAAAACCTAATGCATCTCACCAAATGTTGTATATGTCATCACGTTTGAGTTGCAGAAACCAGGAATCTGCTTTGGGGCATTTAATCAAATCAACTAATTCACTAAGATAATTGTTGCAGCGCTAATTGAAAATGGTGAAGTGTGTGTGCGAGTGTTCTCTCTCGGTTGGACGTGAGCACACAGGAAACAGCATGAGGACTACACACACACACACACACACACACACACAAACACACACACACACACACACACACACACACACAACCAATTAAGAGCATAATCTCTGGAGGAATTCCAGCAATGTGTATTCTCTGCCATTCACTTTAAGCGGCTGAATATGCACACACAAACACACACAAACACAAACACAAACACACACACACACATTAAAACAGTAGAATATCCCTGTCACAGTGTTGGTGCAGGGAATCTCTTCACCCAGATTCATCCCAGGTAAAAATCCTGTTCTTACTTGAGCCTCTCCTTCCTTCTGCTCTCCAGCTGCACCCCCCCTCTGTGGTCAGACCTAATGACCGCTATCTCTTTCCCTCTTCACCCTCCATCACTTCACCAGCACCACCGCGCGTAAATCACTCCAGCACATGGGCCCCGGGGCCCTGTGGTTAAAATAAACCCCTCCTGACACTTCCACTGGCAGATTAACACGACGGCATTAACAGGTGCTGCTCTGGTTTGGACACATGCATGTAGTGAATGAAACCACCAGCGCTTCCCACGACGAGCCGGTGCAGAGCTGCTGCAGCATGCGGCAGCTCCGGGGGCTGGATGGATGGACGATGCGCCTGATGCGCAACAGGACCAGGAAACAGTTAAAATCCGTATATTTTTTGTTAGGAAGTTGATGGAAATTCAAGGTGTTGTTGTCATGTGCACATGAGGGGGAAAAACAAAGAAGAAAATAAAATGAGATTTTCTAAAACACTTACAGCACTCGCAGATGTCTCAGTCCTGCAAAATCCGTCTTTGTGATCTTAGTGAGGTTGTTTGCATTCAGATCCCTACAGACAAAGCAGAGATGGAGGGATTGTCAGTACATGAGATTGATATGTTAATAAACCCAGGACAAAGCAGGTGAGCAGCTCAGCTCAGGAGATTTTATTCTTGAAACTCGGTGCGTCCAATAACGCAGAAATGGTCATTTGTGCGTCAGAGGAGCTGAAGCTACTGCGCTATAGGCGACATGGACACATTTTAATTTCATCCAAGGGTCTTCGCCTGATAAAATGCAGCCCCCCTCTCACTTTTTTTTTACTCAGAGCCACTTGTCCAAATCCGTTTTTGATTAACTCGCTGGTCTCCAGACAAACCGATGTGGTCTACGGAGGCTGTGCTTAATGCAACAGTGCGAAACCACCGACACGACCGCAGCAGTGCCCCCATAACTTCAGCTGAGCGATCAACGTCCTCTCAAGTCAAGTCTTTCTGTTTTTTTATTAAACTAAATTTCACATCAGCGGCTTTTAAAGCAAAACATGCGCGTAAAGTGAAGTTTTGGATACGTTAGTTCTAATGTAAAAGTCATGTTAACTCCATGGGAAATAAACCCTCCTCTCATGGTGTCAACATGCAGTTTAAAAGGACGAAATGTGTAAGTGAAGCTACAGTTTTACTTACAATTTGAGGATTAATAACCTGTAATCACAGTAATCCTATTTACTTGATCAGAAACCAGATCGTGTGATGAAATCCCCCCAAACTCTTAAATCCCTCCCGGAAAACAGCTTTATTATATAGGCTATAATTAAAAATACCATGAGGCCACTAAGATCAGCGCAGTAGTTTTCCAGCATTATTCACATACAAAGTAATCGATCTAATAGGTTTTCCCTTTAGGTATTCCCGATTTGTTGGGACACCTGGGCTGCGTAAAAATCCAAACTGCGCTGTTAAAGCTCGAACCCCTCTGTTACTCACAGTCTCTCCGTGTTCCGGGGTATGTTCCTGGGCACGCTGCGGAGCCCTTGGCCGTGACAGTCCACTGTGGTGCCGGTGCAGGAGCACTGGGTCGGGCAGGGCTGTCCGGCTGCTCCGCTGGACAGCACCAGGACCAGGACAGTCGTCACCAGCAGCGGCAGAAGTGGAGCAGTCGCCGGGGAGCGGCCAGGGCCAACGGGGCTCAGAGCTCCCACCATCACTGCGGCAAGTGGGGGGCCAATATGAGACCCACAAAAACAGCGAGGGAATACAAGGGCGTTCTTAAAATCCCTCAGAGAGCTCACCAAACTCTGGCTCTATGAACTCTGTCGTCGTCCTCGCTTCCCTCCGTGTTTCACACGTATGTTTGTGAGCTGTCTCGTGCTGAATTTACATTTGGGTCTCCTTGGAGGGGCTTCTGCGTCTGAAGGCTGTGAGCCGGGACTTTGGTCCCCCCCTGGGCAGGGAGAGGGGAGGTCGACGAGGCGGTGGAGCAGCTCTCTCGCTGCGTTACAGCGGAGCAAACTTCCACATGTCCCCGGCATGCGGTGCGCAAATCTCCCCGGTGTGCGCTATACACTCGTGTGTATGCAGTCTAAATATGTGCGCGTGCTGGTGGAACACCTCAAACCTTGACCTGATCCAGAGAAACACACACACACTCTCTGTCACACACACACTCCGGTCCACACACACTCTCCAGGTGAGGCTGTCTTGGTTATTAATTCACAACACGCGTCCGGCGAGGAAGCACTCGGTTGTTTCCCAAAAGCTCAGCAGAGGTCACCGTGGTGCAGGAGGCATTGATCCCGATCATGTATCAATTGATTCCGATCATGTATCAATTGATTTCGATCATGTATCAATGGCCGGTCAGTGGCGAGGGTGCAGGCAACGTGAGAGAGGGAAAAAGCCCCGTGGAAGACCAGCGCGCAACACTATAATCCAACTCTGCGTGGTGCGTCAAAGCGCTGCTCCCGAGTGTGTGTGTGTGA